GTTTAGAACGGTCGAAATGGGGAATCCTTTGGGATAATTACCGATTAACGAATAAGTCAGCTTAGCGTTTTCATTTGTATCTACATCATGCGCTGTTGCTTTTGTGATTATACCGCCCACTTTACTGTTTTCTTTCACGTAAATATTTATATTGCCTTCTTGGAAAGTGGGAGCATTGTCATTTATATCGGAAATGTGCACATTGATTACAGCAGTGCTAGACAGAGGTGGACTCCCTTCATCGGTTGCAGTAACAGTTACATTGTACTGCGGTACAACCTCTCTGTCAAGGATACCATCAACTATTAATGAGTAATAGTTTTTGTAGTTGGACGTTAATTTAAAAGGGATTGCATCTTTAATTTTACAAGCGGTAATTCCATTTTGCCCCCCATCTTTGTCAGTTACAGTTACCAAAGCAACGACTGTTCCAATTTCAGCGTTTTCCTTGACTGGACTCATTAGTGAAGTTACAGAGATTTCTGGTGCATTGTCATTGACATCGATAACCTCTATGAGCACTTTGGAATAACCGCTGCGAGGAGAAGCACCTTGGTCTGTCGCTCGCACTCGTAATTCGTACGCATTGTTTTCCTCATAATCCAAATTAGCCTTCACAATGATTTCACCGCTTTCAGGTATTACAGTGAATTTTTCAGGGGAGTCCACATTTCCTCTTTTCATTAAAGAATATCTGATATCAGAATGTGGACCATCGTCTAAATCTGTTGCATTTAATTTCAGTATTGTTGTACCCATGGCTACATTTTCGCTGACACTCACTTTATAAAGCGACTTGCTAAAGGAAGGCGTATTATCATTAACATCTATCACATTCACAAGAATCTGCATAGTGCCAGATTTTGCAGGTTTCCCTCCGTCCACAGCGGTTAATGCTAGTTTAATAATGGCTTGTTTTTCTCTGTCTAAAGCTTTCTGCAGCACCAACTCAGCAGACACACCGTCTCCTCCGCTACTAACGTCTATAGAGAAATGCTCATTTGTACTTAGCTTGTAGGTTTTCACTGAATTACTGCCAGTGTCTGCATCTTGAGCTGCTGGGAGCGGATACCTCTCTCCCGTTGAAGACGACTCAGAGATATTAAACACATGGATTTGTTCGAGGAATTTTGGTGCATTATCATTTATGTCAAGAATGCCGACCTCAATGCGATAAATATTCATAGGGTGGCTGAGTAACCCCTCAATATTTAAGGAACACTTGGGCAAATTAGGACAAAGCTCTTCGCGGTCTATCCTTTCGGTCACAGACAAAGCTCCCGTTCTTAAATCAGCCTCGAAATAGCTCTTACTGTATCCCGATACAATCCGAAATCCTCGTTCCTCAAGTTGCTGTGTGTTAATGTTTAAATCCTTGGCAATATTTCCCACCACTGTGCCTTTGTCCACCTCTTCGGAAACGGAGTAGGAAATCTGAGCCACAGTAAAGTCAGATAAACAAAGAATAATGGCGAACAACATCCATTCCGCCCCACGATTGAGCCGCCGACTCATCCTTTTTTTTTTTTCGAAGACAAGAATCCAGACAAACAAACGTAATTCATTCACAGAAACGGAAAAATATCCAAAAGACAGTAAGACTCTCTACACGTCGGACCATCGTTCAAGACGGAGTGCTTCATGAACACAGACCTGACGAAACGCACTGACTGTTTCTTTTTCCACCGACAGCGGAGGAGGAGTTTTATGTATTTAATGAGCACAAGTCAATGTGTGGTCTCGAGCGACATCTTGCGTTCTTTTTGTAGACCACAATGTATTATTTAATAACTACATCTTGCAAATTACTTTCTTTTCTTAAATAACACGCCAAAGTCCGTGAAGCATTATGTTCATCTGTTGCAAAAGCTGAACACTACGAGCAGTGAAACACGGCAGGTAAAAGGGGACTAAATACATAATTGACAATATGTGTATGATGCATTTATTTATGTTACTGAACATATTTCTTCATATCATTTTAAAAGATAGTATTTAAACAAGATGATCATTCAGGGTAGAATGTTTAATTAATTAGAAGCTTGCAGTGCACAGACTCAAGTTTTTTCGCCAGTAATACTAGTTCATCATAGTTTGTCAAGTCAAACACATGACGAAGGAGCGCAGAGACACATCAGCACCATGGAGAGCGTCTGGCCCATCGAGGAGTATCAGTATGGATGGACATTGATCATTTAGGCAGTCTTCATGAGTTTTTACACTGACAGTTATTAAAGTTTGCAATATTGATAAAGACAGTGACATCTGCGTCACTTTCAGTAAATTACAAAAGCGTCCCTTGAAACAACCGGTAATGAATACAACGAGGCGTTTTCATGCACAACTGGGATTTCGAATGATGCTTTTTTTAAAAAAAATGGTAAAAGCATAAGCCAACAAAAAAACATTGACAAAAGACAAGTAGCCCTACAACAAGACAGTCAGTCAGGGCTGGCAGCTGTTGATGGAGTTTCACTCCTTAGAAAATAAGAGTTTGAAAAGAACTTACCTTCTCTTTATTAGGTAAAGTCTGAGT